CGAACTGCCTGGCGAAGCCTCGTCAAGTGGAGTCAAGGAAGGAGGAGTTGCTCCCCTTCCGGTTTGTGAGCAGGCGTCCAGCTCACAGGGTGGAGTTTCTCCCCCGACCATGGCGTCAGAGATTGACCACAGCTCAACAACGCCACGTAGCTCCACTATAGTGGCCTGGGAGGGCCAACCAGGCGATCTAGGGGACTATTGCACTGCCTCTACGAAGCCGGAGACCAGCTTCTCGTTCGAAGTCTCGAAGGCTCTAGCAGCTTCGCTCCGGCACGGACATAAACCCTACATCAGCGTCACTTCAGCTGGTTGGGCCAAATTAGAGGACGTCCTGAGATGGCCAAGAGTGCAGGCCCAGCACGCCACGGCAGGCGACCTCATGGAGGTCGTTCGGAGTAACGCAAAAGGCAGGTACGAGCTGGGCGATTGCCAAGGCCAGAAGTACATCAGGGCTCTGCAAGGACATTCTCGCTCTGATGTGGACTCCAATGAGGTGTTGGAGGAACTCACGGAGGAGATGCTCCCCAGAATGCTGTATCATGGCACATTCTGGTCCTTGTATGACTCCATACGCCAACGAGGCCTTCTGCCTCAGAACAAGATTTCCAAGGGCCGCGGCAAAGGCGGACGTGGCAGAGAGGGACGACAGCATGTTCACTTCGTCTCGGATCGGGACTATGGGAGACCTGGTGTTTCTGGATTCAGAGATAGCTCGTCGATGCTGGTAGCGGTCGATCCACGCAGAGCCATGCAGGTAGGGGTGCAATTTTTCCGTAGCAAGAACGGCGTCATTCTCACCCCTTCTGAAGTGCCCCCTTCTGTCATAGAGTACTACCAGAGCCTGAAATCAGGTACTAAGTACGGAGGCGGCAACAGGCCGCTCTGATCGTGAGGACCCTCACCTAATGGTGGAGTCCCTCCCCACACTGATAATGCAGCTGCTCACGCAAAAATCTATGTTATGAGGCTGAAGGTCACTTCATTTTCATCACCAGACAGCAAGTATACCCCGAGGTCGCATGTGAAGCTCCGTGCGCAGTCGTGGGCCCGGATCTGCAAGTGAGTTGTCAGCCAAAAGTTTTCTGGAAGCTCTACTTGCCTTCTCGTACAGGCTCAACTCACCAGCTGTCTCGACTGTAGAAGCCATGCCTGAAACACCGAAGAAGAGTGGCAGCAGAGCGACCTCCCGAACCCCTCCTCCAGTGCGACGTCGGCCCCACCTATCCAGGTCGCCGCCAGCCAGTGACGCCATTCGGGAGTCCGACTCCGAAGACACAGCAGCCCCTAAAGCAGCCCCTAAAGCAGCTGGGCCTAAGGGCCCGCCGCCTCCGATGCCTGTTAACCTGTCAGGAAGTGGATCTAGCACAGATCGGACACCGGGCCCAGGTAAGGCACCTGGAGTGCCAGTGAAAGGTGGAGTCCCGGGAGGAGTTTCTCCCCTGGGACCACCGCCAAAGGCTGTGACCTCAACGATCTCCCATCCAGGGACAGGAGAGCTTCATGTCACCAGCACAAGTCCGGCAGGAGTTGCTCCGCCATCTACAAATAGCAACAACGGGCTGGAAATGGCGCCTGGCCTGCCTTTACTGAGTGTTTCATTGCCTCACCGCCTCTACTATAACATAGAGCTAGTGGTTCGTACCGAGCCTTCACAGCGAGGCTAGACACTCTCGCGAGACAGCAGTGTGCAAAATGGACGTCGCCAATCAGTCAGCGATACATTGCAAATCAGCCGGTTAACTTATTCATTAGTGCCAGAGTCTGCAGCTCGAGTCACTGAAGACACGTCCGATTCCGACTTCATTGCTTGCAGCCTTGAGGGGCGGAGCGTGTGCGAGTGCTGTGTTAAGGCACGGCTCGTCATGAAGTGACCGCGCAAGTAGCAAGCAGAGCAGCAGGTCGATCCCTCGCAAAGCGTGGACGTTAAGTTTCACCTCAGACAGTATCCTCCCGCTGCGTGTGAATGAAATATTGTTAGCGATGTTGTTGTTGTTGGTGGTGGTGCTGCTGCTGTTGTCGGTGTTGTTGTGGTTTTTGCTGTGTGTGTGTGTGTGTGTGTGTGTGTGGTGTGTGTGTTGTGTGAGTGGTTGTGTGCCTTGTGTGTGTGGTGTGTGTGTGTGTGTGTGTGTGTGTGTGAGTGTGTGTTGTGCGTTTGAGTGTTAGTGTGAGGTGATTGTGACGTGTGGAGTGTGAGTGTGAGTGTGATGTGAAGTTTGATGTGAGGGTGATGGGAGTGTGAGTGGGGCGTGAGTGTGAGTGTGTGTGTTGGTGTGTGTGTGTGTGTGTGTGTGTGTGTGTGTGTGTGTGTGTGTGTGTGTGTGTGTGTGTGTGTGTGTGTGTGTGTGTGTGTGTGTGTGTGGGTGTGTGGGTGTGTGGGTGTGCGGGTGTGCGGGTGTGCGGGTGTGCGGGTGTGCGGGTGTGCGGGTGTGCGGGTGTGCGGGTGTGCGGGTGTGCGGGTGTGCGGGTGTGCGGGTGTGCGGGTGTGCGTGTGCGCGTGTGCGTGCACGTGTGCGTGTGCGTGTGCGTGTGCGTGTGCATGGGTGTGCATGGGTGTGCAAAATGCGTGTGCGCGTGCGCGTGCGCGTGCGTGCGCGTGCGTGTGCGTGTGCGTGTGCGTGTGCGGGTTCGGGTGCGGGTGCGGGTGCGTGTGCACGGTGCGTGTGCGGGTGTTCCGCGGTGCGGTGTGTGCGTGCGGGGTGCGCGTTGCGTGTGCGCTAGTCGTGTGGCGCGCTTGTCGCGTGCGGGTGCCGTGAGCGTGTGCGCGTGCGCGTGCGCAGTGCGCGTGCCGTGTGCGCGTGCGCTTGCGCGTGCGCGTGCGCGTGCGCGTGCGGGTGCGGGTGCGGGTGCGGGTGCGGGTGCGTGTGCGTGTGCGTGTGCGTGTGCGTGTGCGTGTGCGTGTGCGTGTGCGTGTGCGTGTGCGTGTGCGTGTGCGTGTGCGTGTGCGCGTGCGCGTGCGCGTGCGTGTGCGTGTGCGTGTGCGTGTGCGTGTGCGTGTGCGTGCGCGTGTGCGTGCGTGTGCGTGCGTGTGCGTGCGTGCGCGTGCGTCGCGTGTGCGTGCGCGTGCGTGTGTGTGAGTGTGCGTGCGTGTGCACCTGCTGCGCGCGTGGCGTGCGCGCGTGCGTGCGCGCGTGCGGGGCGCGTGCGTGTTGCGCGTGCGCGTGCGCGTGCGCGTGCGCGTGCGCGTGCGCGTGCGTGTGCGCGTGCGTGTGCGCGTGCGTGTGCGCGTGCGTGTGCGCGTGCGTGTGCGCGTGCGCGTGCGCGTGCGTGTGCGCGTGCGTGTGCGTGGGTGTGCGTGGGTGTGCGTGGGTGCGTGGTGTGCGTGTGTGGGCGTGTGTGGGCGTGTGTGGGGGTGTGTGGGGGTGTGTGGGGGTGTGTGGGGGTGTGTGTGGGTGTGTGTGGGTGTGTGTGGGTGTGTGTGGGTGTGTGTATGGGTGTGTGTATGGGTGTGTGTATGGGTGTGTGTATGGGTGTGTGTGGGTGTGTGTGGGTGTGTGTGGGTGTGTGTGGGTGTGTGTGGGTGTGTGTGTGTGTGTGTGTGTGTGTGTGTGTGTGTGTGTGGGTGTGTGTGTGTGTGTGGGTGTGTGTGGGTGTGTGTGTGGGTGGTTGTCCGTTTGTCGTTGGTTGCATGTTGCTTGTTGTCTGTCATCTGTCATTTGTCGTGTGTCGTCGATTGTCCGCTGTCTGTCGTGTGTTTGTGTTCGCTGTTGCTTTATGTTTGTAACTTGCTCCTGTTTGTTGCTTGAGGTTTGTTGGTCCTGGTTGGTGGTTGTTTTTTGTTCTTTGTTGCTTGTGGCGTGTTGGTTGTTGCTTGCTTGTTGCTTGTGGCTTGTTGCTTGTTGCTTGGTACGTGTAGCGTGTTGCCTTTTGCTTGTTGTGTGTTGGTGTTTGCTTGTTGCTTGTGTTGCGTTGCGGCTTGCTGATGCTTGCTGCTTATTGTGCATTGTGTTGTGTGTGTGTGTGTGTTGTGTGTTGTGTGTTGTGTGTTGTGTGTTGTGTGTTGTGCGTTGTGCGTTGTGTGTTGTGTGTTGTGTGTTGTGTGTCGCTTGGTGCTCGTTGCTTGTTGCGCGATGTGTGTGACATGTTGTTTGTGTGGTGTTTGCTGTTTGCTGTTTGCTGTTTGCAGTGTGTAGTGTGTTTTGTGTAGTCTGCTGTTTGTTGCTTGTTGTTCATCGCTTGTTGCGTGTTGCATGTTGCTTGTTGTGTGTTGTTGTTTGTTGTTTATTGCTTGTTGATGGTTGTTAGTTGCTTGTTGATTGGTGCTGTTGTTGTGGTGGTGGTTGTTGGTGGTGGTTGTGGCAGTGGTGATGGTGGTTCTGTTGGTGTTAGTGCTGTTGTTGTTGCTGTTGTTGTTGCTGCTGCTGATGCTTGAAGTTGTTTGTTGTCGTTTGATGTTGCTTGGAGCAGTAGGAGCAATACGAGCAGTAGGAGCAGTAGGAGCAGGAGCGGGAGAAGGAGCAGGATCCGGAGCAGGAGTAGGAGTAGGAGGAGGAGTCGGGGTCGGCGCCGGAGTAGAAGTCGGAGGGGAAGTGGGATAGGGAGCAGTAGAAGTAGTCGCAGCAGCAGCAGCAGCAGGAGGACGAGGAGTAGTAGTAGTAGTAGTAGCAGTAGTAGTAGTAGTAGTAGTAGTAGTAGTAGTAGTAGTAGTGGTAGTGGTAGTGGTAGTAATAATTTTAACCACTACTACTACTACTACTACTGCTGCTACTACTACTACTACTGCTGCTACTACTACTACTGCTACTACTGCTACTGCTGCTACTGCTACTACTGTAGCAGCAGCAGCAGTAGCAGCATACCTCCGAGCTTGGCGCATACGCTTCCCACTGAAGGCACCGGCGAAGTCGTTTGCCCTGCGCTGAAGCGAACGAGAGAAGATAAGTAGCCCCTTTTCCTGACGCACGACGCAGGAGCACAACCCCAACCCGGCCCCGCTTCAATTGTGCCCGGGCCGAGGTGCGATTGACTCCTTTCACCCACTCTGAGCCGTGGAAGGTTGCAGCCTCGCTGTCTTCGTGAAGTTGATGAAGCAATAGCCTTGGACGGAAGCAACGGACTAGGCTTTTTTGCTGGAACTCCGGAGACACTCTCAGGACAGGGCCGAGATTCGCACAGTTGCAGTGGTCCATCCTAAGTCGAGAGAGAACTCTCTCAGCAAACACTGAAGCAGCGGCTGTTACGGCCGTCATTGGCCTAGGCCAGGCATCGAGGGCCGGGCGGCAGGTAGAAAAAATCGAAGTCTTCCTGCGGACTTCGAACAAACCCCCAGCGAGCACGAAGCGAAGCGCCCTTAAGAGAGACGGCCCTCTGTTCCTGCATGTGGAAGCCCGCATCTCGCAGCTCCCCAAGCCTTAGATTCGCGACTTTCCTGCGAAGAGTGGCGATGAGGAACACTGCCCCAATCAGGAGGAACATGTCTGGATCGTGCGAGGTTCCAGCCTGTGCAAAGCACTGCAAGCTGGGCCCTGGGCAGCATTTGTTGCGTGTACTTGTTCGGCAGGTTCCGCATCATCACGGTCGTGACCTGCGGAATCATGCCGAGTACATTGTGTCGAGCAGGTACACGTCCGGCGACACTGGTCTTCTGAATTACCCATGCTCAAGATCAAGATGCTGCCGGTCGTCGGCACCTACGTCGCTACGTCGGCCCGGGCTCGGTGCTGGGGCTTCCACTGGAGGTTGCATGTGCCACGAAACGTGCACCGGTGTAACTTACCCAGGTCCGGATAGGCGCACATTCTCCCAGGGAGGCTCCAGATGGGTGATGTCCTCGTCTTTCAAGCGGCTCAGCCTGCCAAAGAGAGTTGCGCGCGTGCTTGTCTCTTCTTTTGGCACTCCCCAAGTCCCGGGCTGCCCATCACGTGTGCGTTTCGGCGGGTCTCGATGCCTGGGCTTCAAAGCGCTTTCTCGGCTGCCGCCGCACCAGCACATGAAATCAGAGATCTGCCTGAGACACTCAATGAGGCGACGGCTCTGCTTGCCGATCTTGGCCTTGACGACCCCACACCTCCGTGAAGCAGCAAATGCCACCATCCACCCCAGCACCGTAACCGTCTTCACGACGCTTCGAAACGTCGGCATCATCATCATCATCATCATCATCATCCTGGCGGTCTTCTCGTCCTGCTTCAGGGTCATCATCACAATCGCCAACATCACAGTCACCATTCTCAGCCCATCGCCATCACCAGCAGCCTCAGCACCCTAGTCGTGCTCACTCTCATCATCCTTTGCTTGGCCGCTACCAATTAGGGGTCGAGCACTACCAGCTCCAAAAGAGAAGCAGCACTGAGGGATCATCTGAATGTGACCTTCTGGGATTCTGGGACGTCAAGCTTTAACTTTCAGCAAGACCTCAATCCATCAGCCAACTCAGCTCCTCAGGTTCGCCTGAGACCCGTCGTTCTTGTGGCGACTTCCTGCCGAAGGGATCCGGGAAAATCCGCCGCACCGCGCACCGCAAGCCTTGGTGCGTCCCTGAAAGTATGCCTGCCTGCCTACCTGGCTGCCTGCCTGTGCTGCCTGCACGTATACATGCAAACATGTATGTACTCATGCCCGTGTATGTCTGTGTGTGTGTCGCTTGCATAGCAAACCCATCCTGCGGAATGCAATCCGGCGTTCATCCATGCGAGGCCGAAAGGCAAGAAAACTTGCAAGTGGCCCCCTGAGTTCATAAAAAAAACCTCTCCACGGGTCCTTTGCCCTGTCTCGGCTTCATGCCAGGCTGCACCTGTGCAAAGACTCAGAGACTTAGACGCCTGCGTGCAAAAAAGCCCTTGCTACATCCTCGGCGCAAGCAGCCCCCTAAAGAGTCTTGCGCCAGAGAATCTCGAGGGTTGCACATAGCCCTGCTGCATCGTCATGTCTGGCCTCGATTCGGCATTGCGCATCAGCACAGGAAATGGATGAGCAGTTCTGGATCGAACTCCTGGAGTATATCACTACTGCGCTCGGAATCTGTTGGAGCGAACTGGCGCGGACATCCCCGTAGACTCAGCACGTAGACAAGCACAGGCTCGGCACAGCCGGGTGCCCAACGGGATGGCGACCATCGAGCTCGTGGACTCGAAGGCCGGAGCATCCTCGGAGTGCAGACGGAGACCCCCCACGCCCACTCCCGGCTCCCGCTTCGGCTCCCCTCACCCCCGCCGCGGCCCTTTGCTCTTTTTTCAGCCGGAAGCCGGAGCAGGCACTAGAGGAGCGCTGCCTCTGCAAGAGTGGAACGCGACGCGCGGCTTGCATTGGCCCGGCGTGCGAGATCCCTGAACAGGATGTGTACGATCCGGATCGGAATGTACAGGCTGTGAAGGTGACGTGCAAGCGTTCGGGGGCATCATCTTCTGTCTTCGAACCGGCGGCGGCTATGCGGGTGCGAGGCCCCTAGATTCAGGATGCTTGCCAAGGATTATTTTGTCCCACTGCAGTTCCCGCTCGTTCGCACACGCCACCAGCGCACCCTGCAGTTCCGCATAAGACTGTCTTGGCTCCGACTCAGAAGAC